AAACAAACTTAAAGCACTACTGGAATATTATATGAGGTCTTATTTGTTCATCATAAGTATTGTTTAGCCTACAATAAATCCTGGAAATGGCCTCTGTAATACTTGTCTGATTGCAGGATAATAAAATAACTTATGTTATGAACTTTTCCTAAACTAAAGAATATTTTTAAGCTTAACTCTTTGTATGTAGCCGATTCCACAGTCATGGCTCACTGGTAACTTGCAGAGAAAATACTAGGCAATGACCATCAACAACAAAGTCTAAATAAAAATAAATGTAAAAATACTGAAATATTTCTTGCATTATTTCTCCTGTTTGGAAGGTCCGTCATTAACTAAACCATGTTTCTGGCTGGCATATTTGCCTAGGAAATTCTGAATTCTGTATTTTGCAGGGTCTCAGACAGCAGATTAAATTCCATATTCCTCACCTCTGTTGAAGAGATAGGAGTACAATGCCAGCCAGCATGGCATGGTCTGATGTCAGTGAAAAGGTATATATTAGCTGGCAACTTCAGAGTCCAATTTCCTCATGCAGTTGAAAACCCTTGCAAGATTATTTGGGTCAAGCAAGAGATATTAAAAAAAGAGAAAGACAGCCTGTTAAAAGAATTATTGTGATTGTTGTAATTTACACTACCTCTTCTTAAAAGAGTCTGTTGTCTCTTTTTCATCTCTTTTTAACCAACTAATGAAATTTTGGTGTTGAATTATAAGAATCTGTTTCAATCCCCATCTTCATTCAATTTTACACAATTGCAGTGCTTCCCGTATCTCCTTTTGAACAATCCTATAGGATTCTGGTTTCAATCTTGAAGAATTTCAGTCCTCTGAAATGCTTCTTGTTAATAACTCGGTGGTTTCCAGTTCTTTTTTCAAGCTATTTCCAGAGCCGCGGTGGTGCAGTGTTAGAATGCAGTATTACAGGTTACTTCTGCTGACTGCCAGCTGCTGGCTGCCTGAAATTTGACAGTTCGAATCTCACCAGGCTCATGGTTCTCAGCCTTCCATCTTTCCGAGGTGGATAAAATGAGGACCCAGATTGTTGGGGCAATATGCTCAGGAGTGGGCTTCAAAAATTATAGCAAAGGTTCTCTGCCTGGTTGCTGGGGGGGCGTGGCAATGATGGACATCCCCTAGTCGGCCTCCTGCACTATGGCAGGGGGGATTTTTGCCCTCCCCGGGCTCCGGAGGCTTTTCTCGAGCCTCCAGGAGAGCGAAAACAGCCTCCCCGGACTCCAAAGACTCTCTGGAAGCCAGAAATGGGCCCATTTCTGGCCTTCCTGAAGGCCTGTTTTTCACCCTCCCCACATGCCCTGCACTTACCTGCATCCAAAACAGGCCACATAGGGACTCCTGGGAGGGGAGGGAAGAGGTAGGTGGGGCCAGCCTGGAATGGGATTTGGGGGTTCTCTGACCTGCACAGAATCTTAGGGGCTGTCCTGAACTCCTGCCAGCCCCCACCAGCCCACCCCTGACTCTGTAAACTGCTTAGAGAGGGCTGTAAAGCACAGTGAAGCAGTATATAAGTCCAAGTGCTATTGCTATTACTACTCAAACCACATCATACCCCAAGGAAGTGCTTCAAGTAAACAGAACCAGTTTGTTGTAGTGGTAAAAGTACTAATTTAGAACCAGGGCCGTGTGAATTCTAGTCTTCTCTTAAGCATGAAACCTGGTTGGGTGACTTTGAGCTAGTCTCTCTTACTCCAATGCATTTCATAGGGTTATTGTAGGGAAAATAGAAAAAGTATTATAAAGGCTTCCCCACCCAATCTGGTCCAAAATTATATTTGAAAAGGCAGGATAAAAATATAATAATAGTCATATTTTTAAAGGCTGCAGATAAATGACTCAAGTTTTAAGTTCTCTTAAAAGAATGTCCATCCCTCTCCCTTCCTGAGTAGGAGAGGAAAAGAGGAATTAAATTAGAAACAAACACTGTGCTGGATACAAGGTCATCTTGACACGAAACAAAAAAGCTCAATACACATATAATAAGGCTGACAGATCAGGCTTATTTGGACAGTATTTCCACAGAGTTGTGAGCAAAGCTGGGAATGGTTTTTGGCCCCGAGGTCAGCTGCAAAGTCTCCTTTGAGCCAGAGCAAGAAATTAGCTCTTTGCCAGAGAAGAAAGCACCACTCGATAACAAAACCAGAAGTTTACTGGGTGAGATGTAGCAGAGGTGACATCCTGAATCATGCTGGGCTTCAACAGGTTGCCTAGAATTATTCAGTCCTTCTCCTTCATCTATCTTGGGAGGCTCTTTCAGCATACAAAACAAGGGAGAAACCCCTAACACCCTAACAGATGGTGGCAGGATCAGCCCTTCAAACCGAGAACTTTTAACTACATTAAAATTGCTTTATTTCAACATTGCGAAGCACTGCAATCAGAGGGGGTATTCAGCAGGTTCTGACCAGTTCCGGAGAACCGCTAGTGGAAATTTTGAGTAGTTCATAGAACCGGCAAAATACCACCTCTGACTGGCCCCGCCCCCATCTATTCTCTGCCTCCCAAGTCCCAGCTGATCGGCTGGGTCTTCTTTTGTTGTCCTGCACAGGAGAACGGAGCTGGAAAGCAGGTTAGTAGGGTGGGGAGGGAATGGGATTTTGCAGTAACCTTCCCCCAGGAATGGGGAGGGAATGGAGATTTTACAGTATTCTTCCCCTGGGGTGGGGTGGGAATGAAGGTTTTGGCCTATACTTCCCCTGCCACGCCCACCAAGCCACACCCACCAAGCCACACCACACCCACCAAGCCACGCCCACAGAACCATAGTAAAATATTTGAATCCCACCACTGACTGCAATACACTCTCTGCAGCAGTGCCTTTGTGCTAATGGCACCCATTTTGTGAAATACTCCTTCCAATTAAAAGTTATTAAGCCCCTTTTACTCAATTGCCACTTTCTCAATCCAATGTGGTCTAGAAGAACCAAAAACAAAAAATCTTTTCCTCCTTAGGAAGCATGGTCAACCATGCTATTTGGAGATTATGGAAATTATGACAGCCTTTGCTTTATTGTACAGATACCTGAGCATCTTGCCTTCGGCTCCAAGTAGCAAAGTGAGATATAAATGTAATACATTGACATTACTTGAAGGAAAGATGAAATCCATGCATAATGCAAAAATAAAAAAAAATAACTCTATCAATATCGCACTGTAAAGAGACTTTACACTTAAAAAAGATTAAGATTAGTATGAGTTGGCCTTTGTGCCCTACTAGAGGGAATGGTGGAGGAAAAAGAATCCTACTCTCCAATGAAGACATATTCTCACATTTTGCGGGTGATGATTATTGAGATAATGCTCACTTTTCACTTCATGCTAGAAATTAAAGGCTGCTATCTTAAACATGCATAACATACTGCCTCTATAGGAGATTTTAGTGCTGAAATTGTTTCATAGGCAGCTGCATTCATGAAGGTATCAACAAAGTCAAGATGGCCATTAAAATCATGTGATTGAAATTGCCATCACTGGTTGGTGACCCAATGCTTGCGTGTTGGGTTAAGATGAAGAGACCCAAATTCAGGTCCAGCTGAATCATGACAATTCACTGGGTGACTGTCTCAGCCTATATTCTACATTGGGTGTTGTTGTAGAGATAAAATGTTAATGATCCCTGTGTAAGCCATCTTCAGCTCCTTGAGGAAAGGCAGACTATAAAACAAATCAAGAAGGAAGATCAATCACTGAATTCATATGTTCCAGTTATCTATGGATTGCTTATTGAATTAGCTAGTATTGGCTGGCTTCACAAAACATGTTAAGCTAGGAACCATGGCTAAGTTGAACAATGTACTAAATGGTTAAAATAAAACTGAACAACTCACAATATGGCTCAGTACAATGTGTGAAGTCAGTCAATTAGCTCCATCAAAATCAATGCACTTTCAGAGAAAGTGCTTTTAAGGCAGGATAATTCCTATATTGTGATCTTTGTTTTGGAGATCTGAAATAAAGAACAAAGTCAGAAATTCACTTTGCCCATGCCAACCTGTGGTGTGATCATTGATTCCAGGCAATAAATGTAATTTGTGACATTACAAATGCAATAGAAATGAGAATCCAATTTTGAATCCAATTTTCTCAGGTGTTGAAAAGTAAGACAAATTGAAAAGTAAAGGGAATATATTCCAAGCTTAGAAGATTATTTCTATTTTAATTTTACCATGTTCTGGCATATTTATATACATATACACATATAACCACACACAGAGAGACAGAAACGTAATAAAAGCTGAAGTTTTACTCCATTATAGCAATTTTAAAATGAATAATATGAAGGGAAAATGTACAAGGTGACTTCCTGTTCTTAAAAAAAATCCTTATCTCAAATCTGGGCAGAAATTTAATCAGGCTTATTATAAAACACTTCTCATGAAAAGTATTGGTCATTCCTTGGGCCAAAAATACTTGCAAAGGAATTTAAAAAGTTCATGATGTGTGAAACAGGCTCAGCAAGTAAAGGTTTGCAAACTAAGTACACTGGCCCTAGATTTGGCCAGACACCAAAGAGGTTCATGAAATCAATGTCAATTATTGATCCATGTTTGACATCTCTCTGATTCAATGTGTCTCTTCTAAGTATGACCTAATCCAGGTCTAATCCATAAAATGTAGGCATACAAAAATGACACAGAACTGGGGATATCCCAACATTGCTAAATCTTACCCGCCCAAAATATTATCCAACGATTTTTAAAAATACACAATTTCTGTATGTTATCTCTACAAATGATGAAAAGGAGTAAGAGAGAGAGGGGGGGGGGAGGGGGGGAGAGGGAGAGAGAGAGAGAGAGAGAGAGAGAGAGAGAGAGAGAGAGAGACCAGATATTAAAGGGGGGGGGTGAGAAGGCTTGTGGATAGACCAAGGGTCTTCAATGTTGGCAAGTTTAAGACTTGTGGACTTCAACTCCCAGAATTCCTGAGCTAACATGACTGGAGGAGGAATTCTGGGAGTTGAAGTCCACAAGTCTTAAAGCTGTCAAATTTGAAGATCCCCTGGGATAGACAGATGGAGAGGCAGGTCACTTTTTGTGAAAAAGAAGCGGTTTCACCATTCCGGCCAGTATCTTCGGAAGCTGGGCAGCTATCACTTCTGACATCATCTCCGGGAATTCAACACTCAGAGTCCGGGACTGAAGAAATGTGTTGAGACAGTATAAGTGAAGTTGCTTCACAAGCTATATTAAAATAAGAGGGAGAGGAGGGCAGAGGGAATGAGATGGAAATTACATCACATCGGGTCAAATGGTCCCTGACTCAAATGGTCCCGTAACCTACATTATTGTTTTGGCATATATACCAGGCAAACATGATGCGGAGCCAAATATATGATTGCTTGCTGTCGATTAATGCCATGTTTGTAATCTGTAAACCATGGTTTATTTTTATTTTTATTTTTATTTAGCAAAGGATGACTTAGAGAGGTTGTGTGAAGATAGCTGGTGTGACCTGAAGGACTTTTCGATATTGTTAATCATTGATTGACAAGTGGCAGTTTCTTAACAAAAATGTGTTAGAGCTGACTCAGTCCAAACTGACAACTGGGTAATTACTTAATAAAATCATTTGTTCAATATTATGTTATCAGTCTGAAGTTGTAATGGCTTGTTACAAAACTTAGTGTCCTTTATTCTTGCTATTTTGCTTTAAATCACTTGAGACTTTCAAGAAGAGATTGGACTGCCATTTGTCAGAAATGGTGTAGGATCTCCTGCTTAGGAGGGGGGTTGGACTAAATGACCTACAAGGTCCCTTCCAACTCTGATTATTTGTTACTAAATCTCAGTTATCTGATACAACCTGACTAAACGCTGATGAACATTGAAGCTTATAATACTGAATCACAATTTAACCAACCACAGCATAGTTTAGGGAAGCGTTTCTTAAACTTGGTAGCTTTAAGATGTGTGGATTTCAATTCCCAGATGGCTGGAGAATTCAGGGATTTGAAACCCATATATTTTAAAGTTGCCAAGGTTGAGAAACACTGGTTTAGGGATTTGTGTGAACTAAACCCATATGGTCGATTTCCAATTCAGTGTGCCATATGAATCCAGAAAACCTCCCACAAATTATAGTTGAATTATATAGGAATGCAAGCAGAACTAGCCACTTTGGCTTACTGAAATCATTGAATACAACTCCACTTGGAGCAAGAACAACGTATGGGTACAATATTATTCATCCTAACACTTGTTTTTGGCAAAGGGAAGATCAGAGGAAGTCAAGGGCCATGCTCCAGAAATGGAATAAGGCCAGAATAAATGCTAAATACTCTACTCTGTTAATTATTCCATTTAACATTAATTAATGCCATGCAATTAAATCCAGCTGAAATGATTACAATCTGCCTAGCTCGAGTGATCAGGAAAAAAGAAATAGTCTAATTAATCCTTAAATGACAGACAAGAAGGAATTCTCAGAGCTGCGGGCTAAATTGAGAAGTTGAATATACACTCTCAAAAGAATGCCACTGTGAATTACTTTTGCATTGCTGTTAAGAAAATTGCATGAGGTCTCCAGGTGATTACCAGGTGTTGAGTTTTAACTCAAGGGATTCTTTACCTTTTAAAAACATTCAGTTAAAAAAAAGTAACTACAGTTTACTTTGCTTATACTGAAGAACTCCCTCATGAAATCACTGATTAGGGATTTCCTGAATTCGGTCACATTAAACATTGCAATCTGAAGGTAATTGTGGAAATGAGCCGCATCTAAGGCATTTGTAGTTTTGTGTAGCTCTCCAGTCTGGTCTCAGATTGTATGGCCTTCTCCATAACAGTGTTTTCAACCTCAGCAACTTCCAGAATTGAAACATGCTGGCTGGGAACTTCTGGAAGTTGAAGTCCAGACAGTGTTGAGAAGTGTTGAGTGTAGAATGTTGAGAAGTGTTGCACTATAGCAAAAGTATACAGTCTTGCAGCTTCTCTTAGAAGAATAGCTGTGGTTGGGAGGTCCTTTGCAAAAATTCATCTTGTACACACCGGTTGCATCTGTCCCGGGACCAGGGTGTCCTGTTCATAGTTGCTCACACCTTACCTACCTCTAGATAGCATTATTGCAATGTGTTCTACATTGGCCTGCCCATGAAGAGTATCCAAAAGTTTCAATTGATTGACGCTTCCAGGAGAGATATGGTGAACTAAAGATATGACTCTGTGAAAGGAGAGCTGATGACTGCTTAGATCAAGGAACCAATGAGTAAAGAGATTCCCTGAAATCTCTCTGGATAAAAAGAGGATGTGATATTGCCCACATGTGCTCCAGACATCTGCTCCTTGCAAGAGACTGCAGGACATTGGTTTTCTGTGGGTTTGAGCTCTAGAAGATTACAGAAGCAACAATCTTGCTTGCAACTGTGACAGAGACTTTTAAAGGAAATTAAGTTCCCAAATCTCATTTTCTAATAGCTGTTGGAAATTGCTTATGAGCTAATTCTAAGCTACTAAAGACCTTTGGTTTGAAAATTTGAAAATGCTGGGTGAGTCTGCTTTCAATCCTGAACAAAAGAAATTTTTAATAATAAACTTAAGAATTTAAAAGGTTTGAAAGAAATAGCAAAAAGCTAAATAAGATTTTGATTTTAGACAGTTATAAATGAACAAAGGGGTCTGGTTAAAATTGGAACATCGAAACTTTTACAATGAGATTTTGGAATTAGTTGTTAGAATAAAAACCCTTTCTTGTGGGACATAGATCCTGTTTTGATTTTTACAAAAGATAACAGAAATAAGCAATTTCATGACTTTCAAAAATTGGACAGGAGAGGAGACTAAAGTTTACAGTAAAAAAAACATTTACAAGCCTACAAAATGTTGCAAAATATTATAAGAGTAAAAATACTGAAGGGAATTTTTTTAAAAATGGAATCAGAAAATAGTAGTTACAATAATAGCAATGTCGGTAATAAAGTCTGCTTCTATGGATAGACTATGTTCAAAATATGCTCTTAAAGAAATGGCAGATGAAGAACAAATTTTATCTAACAAGATGGAAATAGGATTGAAAATAGATTTACAATTGACAGGTCAAAAGAATAATTTAGAAAGGCGATTCTGAAATTTAACTGTGGATTATAATGAAATATTATTATTATGCTGATGTGGAATTTTCTTATATGTGTACACTTTTGTGAATGCATGCTCTGCATGTTTTTGTTTCTTTTTCTAGTATTTTTTGCATTTTTATTTTTTATTTGTAACTCCAAGCATTGTTTACCTTTTGTTCCTTTTTGTTGGTTTTTTTTCCAATTGATAAAAGCAAAACAAAAATTAAATAGAAGGAAAATATGCTTCTCCACTTTCTAGAGTATCAGATAATCTGGCACAAAACAAGAGTAATATCAACAGCTCCCAAGATAGTACAAAATTATATTACATCATTATAATATAATGATAAAACAAAACTTACATCATGCATAGAGTCCATAAGCTTTGTGAGCTGGTAGAAACGTTGAGAACTGGCTACAACCCCTTTCTGTCGCAGCCCAATTGCTTTGACCAGCTCTCTGATATAACTGGATCTCATATCATCAAACTGATTTTGACTTCTGAGTCCTTCCAAAGGAACTGTGTTTTGGGAGGAAAAAAGGATATTTTACCTCAGGATCAAATTTCAAGCAACAGAAATATACTGTCTTATATTCAGTATATTCAGATTCAACAATTTTGAAACATGCATTCAACCATTTTGATTCAACCATTTTGAAACA